TATATACTTTTCTTCAGGTATTCCAGATAGTTCTAGAAATCTCTAGTCCAGGTGCGAAATTTCCCGCTTGTCAGTGTCATATTTGACAGTAAATGGGAGCCCCATTTGGGCCCCATGAATTTCGATCCCCCATTCCAAACGTGAGTACTCCAGGCCATTTCCGTTACAGTATTAAACATCCAGTATAAGTTATTCTTGACTTTCTTCTCAAGAATCAGATTCTGAAAATAAGAATTGACTAAGCTTCGACTTGCTCGATCTGTCCGCTCTTCAGCACGACATTTCAAATGAATGCATGAATTTTCCTGAAGGAAGTCCGCTGCTGCTTTAATTGCCCAGCCCCATATCAAAAAATGGAGAAAATCAATGATTGAACAACATTTTAGTTATTTTGAAGGTCCGAGATTTTCTCTTCTAATGCTACTATCAACGTTGTATCGTCTGCATATTATGCAGATTTGCATGTTTTCCAATACGCGTAAAGCATATTTGAGTATATTCATACAGAGTGTAATAATCTGGCGGAAAATAAAAATTTCTACTTAATTGCAATAATTGCTCAAAAATTATTTCCAGATTAGCCGTTCATGAGATTGATATACCAACATTATTTTCAGGAGTTCTGGATATCAAATTAATCTTACGATCTTTCAAATGCATTCAACCGAACCAAAATTATATGGATTATTGTATATACCTTAATTCATATATACTTTTCATATTTCCATAATATTAATTTATATTACGCAGTTGCTTTAACATAATTGGTACATACTGTATATTTTTTTGGCTTTTTCACTTTTCATCTGAACGTATATACATTTTTCTCTAGGATGTGGTTCTGTTGAATTTTGAGTTGACTCATTTGCATGTTGATCTCTTTCTCCTTACATTCAAATAAAATGAACGCAATATACTACGCAGCAAAGTTTATTAAAATAAATAACAATAAATATGTGTTTTAAATCTGCGAAGATGATCCTAAAATCATTCCACTAAACTTACTTAAAATGTTCTAATCACGACTTGTTTGAAATCTGTTCCTTGCTAACTTTTACCAGTAATAACTTGTGTTTGCTACTCTAAAAGTAATTCACAGTCTACCTTTCGCAGCTATTTTCTTTAACAAGTACTACTTAATCTTAGCTCATCGCCCCTTAAAAATAAAATGTATATAGAATTATGTGAAGAATTCTAGTGCAGTCTTAATAAAAAGTAGATGCCTTTTTCAAAACATCTAGAGACTTAAAAAACACATAATATGTTTAAAAAAATATTACAGAAAAGCTTTGCTGGATGACTTTTCACAGTTTAGACTTCAACCAATAAACAAAAGTGTGTAAATTAATGTTGTAAAAATGTAAGAAAACTACCAAAAAAACTGTTTTAATTGATTCTATAATAATACTGCGATCTATTTAAAGTGGATATGGTTCTATCCGAATTCATCCAAAGTAATTAAATACGTTGGATAATCCATTGGTGATCGACGAAAAAATTCCACTCTCCTGAGCTACTGGTTGATGGGGTGGCACAAATGGCCCTCTGCTAAACCCGCTGTTGGGTGGTCGATAGTAAAAACCTTCCTTCCGCTGAAAAAGGTATTTTATATTAAAAACAAGATATGCAGTTTGTTATTGATTCAAGAAAAAGTTATACAACGCAAAAAAAATGGCAAAATGTTTATAAAATCTAATTAAGGAACTTGGAACAATACTTGGTAACGTTGTTGTACAGGATGATTCAACATCTAGTACTAAGACTTTACGGCGTATTTTTTAAGTAAAATGGACTTTTTTAACTGCAGATTTCAATGGTTGGATGATTTTTTCAAATTGATATTAGATGTTTGTCAAACATGGCCGTATTTGAGCTTTAAACGCGCTACCATCAAGCCAGGCCATAAGCGAAGATAAAAATAAGCTTCAAACTAAATATCTAAATTAGTCTTAAAAGTGAATGCAAAATAGATTTAAGAAAATGTTTCTTTGATTTTATAATGAGAACACATCACTTTTGTCATAGACAAATTGTTATAACTAACAGCTCATTAACTTGAAGAATTCAACGAACGAAAATGTTTTATATTTTTGTGTATTTATTTTTTGCTATGGCGACATTTTAAACTCTCCAGTACAACATAATTTTTTTTGTTTGTCATCGCAATGTCCGATTTTTTTGAAGAACTTCAAAAGCCAAATTGTCTAATTTTCAGAAAGAAAAAAACCAAAAAAAAATGTTCCTCAAAATTAAAAAAAACCATTTCCTGTATGAGTGTATTTTTGGTCAGATCGCACTATAACAAAACATTTCAGAAATATTGAAACAATCCATAAAAATTATTTGAATTTTCACAGCAACCAAACAACGAGAAAAAATAGGCATAAAATAGATCTTTTCGGTGCTAATAAAACCCATCAATTAAAATAATCTACAATCATCACTAACCACACCATCAAACCACTTACATCACATGAAGAAATCATAACCAGAACGGCTTTAAATTAGATATTTTATTTAGAGCGAGGGAAATTTAAAGCGTCCTTGCTGGGAGGTTGTCCATCTAGTTGCAAGATCGGCTTAGGGGGATTTGTAACTAAGGGTGGAAAATGTTGCCAACGCTGAAACGAATAGTATATTTACAGTCCATCACCTTTAGCAATATATACAGCTAGCAAATGGGACTACTGGATGCCAATAATCAATATTACAGTCATTATTTCTACAACTTTTGTAGGTGACAAAAGAAAAAGGGTATATGAAAGTTTACTGGTACAATAAGCACTACAAAACACGCAATATTTCTGAAAAAAATGTTGCAAGTGTAAGTTGTGTTTTTTAAATAGAATATCGTATATAATTTAAAAAAATAATGAAATACTCCTAAGGTGCCAGACCCTTCTCTGATATGAAGATTGGATGTGCAATGAGGATTTTAACAATTGTTAGAGGAATGATTATCTAGATAAGTTCTATATTGTTGAGGCGGATTCATTTTTTACAAACTGCTTGTTGGGTATTTTGCCTCAGAAATTTTTGTCTTTAAAAAATACAGAATTTCCTCACGTCTTTTATTACAGATTGATAAATAGTGCTCCTATTTCGCAATATATAAATTAATATAATAATATTGCGAAATAGGAGCATTATTTATCCATCTGTAATAAAAGACGTGAGGAAATTCCGTCTTGTTTAAAGACAAAATTGTTTGAGGCGAAATACCCAACAAGAAATTTGTAAAAAAATAGATAAGTTTAGCTGTGCTTTTACCCAAGAAATGCAATTAATTTCTTTAATGTAATATCTGCTAAAAAAAGAACTAGATTTATGTAAATAAAAGGGAATTTATTTGCAAAAATCAGGATTAATTCGGTAAAAACTGATTCAAACGTCAAAATAAAACTATTTAGGAGACGAAGGAAATTCTGTCTTTTTAAAAACAACAATTTTCGAGGCTAAAGACCCAACAAGCAGTTTGTAAAAAATAGATCCAATGTATTCGATTAAAGTGTCTGAACATCAAGAGATTTCGACCATCATAAATATGTATAATATTTTTCATCAAATAAAATATTGTGGATCTCACAGCGTTCATTGTAACCGATAATTTATGGAGATGATCGAACAGGTGTCCGTAGCATTAAAAATAAGACATCCTGTATACGGGACTATTCAGGATTTCTAATAGATGTTAATAGAAACTATTAAAGATAGCAATATCTAATCTTCAAGACTTTCTACGGCCACGAGCTACGCCAGGGTGTTTGATAAGTCGTTTTTGCAGCAGATTATAATCCTACTAATTTTGGATATAGAGTATGTTACATAATAAAGTTTCCGATTAGAATATAAAAATAGAATATAAAAAAGTTACGAAATACTGGAAAAATGTATCGGAAACAATTCATCAAATAGTACCAGCAGTAGAAGTAGTATTATTAGTATCCACAGCGAGCCCAACAGATGAATCGATTTAAATGCGTTATGATCACTTGATTTTAAATAGGCGGTTGCTATTCCAAAAGACAAGGGTGTTTCTCCCTGTTTAAAAAGTATGAAGATTATATTCTTAATATTCTCCCGACATTATTTATTTCATGAAATGTTACCTACATTTTTTAAAATGTGACCGATCTCTCAATTGCACACTATTCAACTCAACAGTATGAACTGTTTGAGTGCCTCGGACAAAATTACAAGTGCTCACGAGACACTGCATCTGTACGTAACATCTTCACCTTAGCCCATATTTTTAAAAAGCGAATTTAGTTTCATTAATCGGTTAAGACAACGAAGGGCTTTGAATCTTGTCTAATAACACTAACATTAGATACCTTAGCTGCGTGTAAGGTGATGTTAAGGAGCGTCGGGTGCTCATCAACGACGATGAAGTCCATTTCTCTTGGAACAAAACCATCAGCATAAATCTGAATAATCAATCTTAATGAGATGAATGTCTATATTAAATAGGAATAAGACTTTACCTCAAGTTTATACATGCCAGGTAGAAGAATTCTCCAAAATTCCCCAAACTTAGTGGTTTGGAAGCCGACATCGCGGGATTTAATTTTAAGTGATGCTTTTTCAACAGGATTTCCTGCTACATCAAACACGAAACCATGCACACCTCGATGCGCTTCAGCAATGAATTTGATCAACGCCTGAAACAACACACGCAAGACAATTAACACCAATTATTCCAGGTAATTTGGATTAATGATAAGCTTTATAAATATATGTATAATTACCATTTTGTTATCTTCCCAGTACTTTGGCAATTCATAAGCTGGGGGATATTTGCAACACGAAACCTCTAAGGTAACTTCCATGCATCCATACCATACGTAATTGTAGTCCTGCATTCCTCCAGTAAGAGGATACCATTCCGCTCCATTTGTGATACCCTGGAATGAGAGTAATAGAAAAGTTTAATTTATTGTAATGTACAAAGTGTTTAAAAAGGTCCGTTTAAAGAAATGTATTTTCAACAATTCCTATGTTATCCATGTGAGTTTTCAATCAAAAGTTATAAAACAGATTTTAGGAATTCTCCAAATTAAAAGAGTGATCCCAACTTTTAGTGAGTCTCGATTGAATAATGAAGCAACTAAATTTAAAAATGTGTCTAAAGCGATTTTTACTGTTTTTTTTTCATTATCAGTGTTCTCAACAAATTTTTCATCCGTTTTCCTAAGCTACTTTTTCATTCTGAAACTCATTCATTCTACAAACATTCTGTAGTTGTTCAAACACCACAGATTGGATCTTGGACCAGAAGAACAGACTTTTAACAGTCGAAGTATCGATGTTTCGGTTTTCTATTAGCCGATCTTCAGGGCCATAAGAATAGAATGCTCAAAAAATAGTATGCAGAAATATTAGACATATAACGGGCGCATTCATTTACACCAAAATTTACACAGTTGGTCAAATGAGAACAGAATGCACAGTGATGTTAAATACTTCGCGGTTTAATATTTACAAAGCTTAACACATTTCTCCGGCAACAAATACAATTTTTTGTCTTTTCTAACGCAGAAGTGCGCTAAAGATTTTTGTCTACATGTGAATTGATATGGAACTTTATCAATTCTTTATTAAATTTTGAGATAATAAAAAAAATTACTTACTGATGGTTACGGTTAAGTAAACTTTTACATATACATATTTTGTGCACATTGCACTTTTTCTTTAAAACATTTAAAAGTATGTAAACTGTAATATTTTTTAGAAATACGACTATTCTTATTTCTAACAAAAATAGAATTGTTATTGATTTCATGATACATCGGCTCGAAATGTAGAATACGTAGACCAAAAATCTTTATTGACCTTTCCGGCCTTGATTACTTGCCCTTTATAACATAGATAAAATAAAAATAATACATAGGAACTTTGAGAAACAAGTTATACCTACCCTAAACGGCTTTAAATAGCGCATTACAATCTAAAATTTGAGATACATTTTGAACAGAATCGTTAATTTCTCCTTTCTTTAAAATTTTAAACCTTTCGGAAGTTTAATTCACAATTCCTGTTGCTTCTTTTATTGAATGACTTTGGAAATAACGGTAGACCAAAGTCCGCAATAAAGCTACAAAACTTGGTGAAACCGAGGATAGAAAGCAAATTTTAAAAAAACTAAATGAGTCCTTCAAGTTGTAGAAATATTTATATTTATGATATTTGAAAATAACTTTGTTATGGTATATACAACAGAGATTTCGGTTCCTTTTTGTAATAAATTTATTGGTTTCTGATGTAAGCAAGTTCAGATTTCAAAATGTGTTAATCTCAGGTATCCACATGATCGGTTTCGAGTCTGTTAGCTCTCATCAGTTCGGTTTAGCTTACATTCCCGAAACTGTTCTGTACTTCGCCCAACTATAACATGGGAAATACAGGACATATTTCAGAAGTGTTATTTTCGGGCTAAAGCCAACATGAGAATTAATAGACTGGAAACCGATCCTGGGGTGCCGGAAATTAACACATCTCGATATCTGTACCATCTTTATATATATAACCTTTGACGGCTCTGAAAATGCCAAAAGTTCTATTTTTTCCAGGCTGCAATTAGTTTCAGTGGAATCAATAAATTTTCTACTTTATGTATGTAAATATAGTGTATGTGCTCACCCTTCGGAATGAAGTCTGTGACGATTGGCATGAGACTCCTTTACTCATTTTAGCATGACTCGTCGAATATGTGAGAGCCAAATGCTTGAACACATCATCGTCTGGAGTCAGCGATGGAGTATGAGAGTAAGTTGTAAACACTATAAGGGAGAGATATTGTTAGTAGTTCTGATCATCTAACTAAATCTTTATTTAAATATTTTTACGGCTATTATTGCTACGCTGAATAAATATACTTACTGGCGCACAGAGCAGATGAGGCACAGACTCCTTTTTTGCGGCATTAAAAACTTTCAAATAATTAATATTACAAGAAAGCGTCAAATTTTGAAAGTTTTTGAATTAAAATATCAGATACTTATGTGTAAGATTATGCCAAAATTTCATGTTTTCCGTCCCATTATTGTTCATTTGTGTGGAGCAAGAACGCGGAAATTCAGTGGAATCTTCGGAAAACGTTTTAAAATATGTAAAACAAAGTCCCATAACTAAATACAAGTAATTGTAAATGCAACTTAAATTTTTTTAAATACTTACGTGAATTAGGACTATTGTCGAACGGATAACTAGCTACCAGAGCGCCACCATGCAAACTTCCAGAAAGAACAAACTGGATTTTCTTAATCCATTCCTTCACTGCTTCTGTTTCGGGTTGGGGTCTTTTGTTGTTCTGCTTGAAGTAGTCGGGGAAATTTCTGTTCAAATCGTAGCCTTGGGAATTGTACCTTGAATTTAACAAACAATATCAAATCTCAAACACAAAATTTTTCTATGAAAAAAAATGCCCAATAATATATCAATTTATATAATATATTCAATTTTTGGTCAATGTACTTTTAAACCGAGACAAAAATTTTATCGGAATCCTTTTGGAAACTTGGTCATTAAAAACACATTTTCGTGCACCTGTTTGTGTGGCCTTGAAGGCAAATATATTATTATTTTTTAATTAGTTGGTCAGCAAATACAAGTACAGCAATTTTGGACCTGGTCACTTTTAGCTTTAAACCCATGATATTTTCACCAAAGATTATAAAGCTTAAAACACAGTAGTGTGATGCGTTCAGAATTTTGCTTTCGTTAAATGCTCTATATTTCAGCAGTTTATACAGGGTGTCCCACCGGGAACCGCCGCGATCAATATCTGGAAAACTGTAATTAAATTTTATATAAAAAGTTAATACAGTTGCAGCCAATCGGATAATTATAAATTTTTTCTATTAGTAAATATTTACTTAATTTGAGTCGCATTTCTTGTTGAAAAAGACTTACTTTAAAGGAATTGCGACCACATTTTGTTAACTATTAATACGAAAGTATTAAAGAAATAAGTTTCAAAATGACATTGGAAAAACCACCTAAAATCAATTTTTTCAAATGAAAACCCCCATTTTTACAAATGTTATCTTAATCAGTATTACAAATAAGGGTAAGTTTGTGTAAAGTTGTCTATTCCAAAAGTGTTTAATTTTTCAAATATTGCCAATTTAATGTGTTCATATGGCTGTTTTGTCGCATCTTGTTTTAAATACTGTCACTCTTAGTTGCCATGACAAAAGTGGCCATTGTTAATACAATCAAATGCCAAAGGAATACTACAGCTGTCAGTTTGTAAGCTCACCTTTTGAAAATGATTAATATTCATGCCCAGACGCTTAAATTATGCAAACAAAGATTATTTGAACTTATTTATCATTTATGGAGAATTTGATAGTTATATCAAGAATTCAAAATAATTTTCAAATAGTCTATTTTGGGTAACCGAATATTCAAAATACCCAAACAACCCACTTGAATTGATTCAACATGCAAAAACTACCACCATCGAACCAAAACAAGAAGCTCCGGTATTTAATTCATGGTAATATTTACGCTACTTTACTACACATTCATTCAAACCCGGTTTTCATGCGCATCGAAACCGGTTTCAAAGTCTACGATGGTTGGGTCGGTTGAAATTCCTCGGGCAACCCCGCTTCCTATTGGCCAGATTCGGATTCCAAGCATTCCGACGAAGATCTCTCATCGGGGCAATTCCCATTCTTCGGACCTCCCCGTCTGCCATCGGATGAACGAAAATTCCGCGAATTCTTCGGCATTTTATTCACTTTTAGATTGGTTTCGGTTAGAGAACTAGATTTGGGGTGTCATAGAGTAAATGTCAAAATGACAAAATTTTGTCACATACAGGGTGTTTTTCCCGCCCATTTCCAAATTTATTTCATAAATTCGCTAATTTTTGTTGGCATTTACGCATGGACAAAGAGTGACTGCATTTGCAAGTGTTGCAGCGCAACAAGAAATGCGACTCAAATTAGTGTGGCGGTATCTGTCATTTTTACATAAAACTTCAAATGTGTGAAATACGGTTAGACTTAGGCATATGATATTATACACAAAATTTATTTATAATTTCGAGTAGAACCCCAAAAATCTAATAATATATAGGATGTTCCATTTAAAATAAGCAAGTTGATACCTACTTTCGGTTTAACCGAAAGTGTGGCCATCTTGAAAATATTTTAGACCGCTTGCCCCCAATGAATGTGGCACACTGTCCAATTTTCAAATTTCTCCTAATTACAGTTTGCCAGATATCGATCGCATCGGTTCCGAATGAGACACCCTGTATATCACGTATATCAGGAACTTATGCAGCTTGAATAAAAATTAAGCAGATTGACAAGATATACATATTCGCTTCTTAAGCAATTTTGTGTCCAGATTATTTACTTACATAACATTATTAAAAATTATATTTTGCAACAGAAACATATATACTTTCTTGCAGGATTGTTGATTGCGGTTCAACTTTATGTAATATTGTTTTCATTACTATTTTTTACCTGTTTAAAATAATATTTTAGAAACATACCTTCCCTGTGCCCCATCACAAGCCCCTTCTTTGGAAACTTCGAATCCATCCGGATTCATCGAAGGCATAATGTGAATCCGAGTATTGTCCAATAACCATTTAATGTACTGGTCTGTGTTGTAGTTGGTTACTAAATACTGCAATATAGTTTGTTTTAATATTTGTATGTTGATTAATTTACCTTCTTACGTTGATCAACTGAAGTAGAATCTCTCGGCTAACTGCCTCATTTCCATGAATATTTCCGATATATTTTACATCTGGTTTGCCAATCATGTGCTCATAAGGTGAAGCTGAGACGACCATTACCCATAAATCACGACCTATAAATTCAATTCAATTCAATTTATTTATTTGAACTTTTTCCAGTACGTTTACAGTGAATAAGTTCACATAGTTAACTTAGCTTAACTTAATTTAATATAATGATGCCTAAATATTTGTATGTATCATCATCTAAATGAAAATTATTTCAAAAAATTACCACATACGCACTAACTATTAATTTAATTAAAATATGCTAAAAACTAATTTAATTTATTTAATTTAAATGAAAAGAAAAATACATGAAATAACCAAAACAAAACTTTACACACTTTACTTAAATTAATTTTAAACACACTCAAAAACCACAAAAATGTAAATTTTCTGCAGTAACTAAACTTTGTAATATTATTCACCCCTTTCAAGTTATTTGGTAAGACATTGTAAAATTTAGGAGCCAAATAATCCAAAAATCGGTACCCTATTTTTTTTTTATTATTGGTACCCTCAGGTGATCATTCACTCTATTCCTTTATAAATGTTTAAAAGGTTTGTTGTGTTTTAGGTGTTTTTCTAGTAATTTTCTGTTACATTAATTTTGAGAGTTTTAACGATCAATAATGAAAATATTTAATAAAATATACTGTTCTTCACTCTTTTACTGTTCGTATTTTAATTTTTTTGGACCATTAGACTTGTTTTTTAAATCCCGGGGTCTTGAAATTTTAAAATGCCGTTTTCGATGAAAGTCCAAATAAAAACGAATTTGATTGATTTCTTTTCCTGCTATTTAATTGTTTGTTCACTCTTGTCAACAAATGATTTTTAATGGAAAATATAATGTGGGAAGAAATTTTTTTAATGAATCAGTTGTAAATGAGTATATATTAACAGAAACAAACTAAACTAAACATATAACCAGAAGCAAAAAAACTTACATGTTATAGTTAATTAAGCCGTTAAAATTAAATCGTTAAAATTAAATTCTAGCATTTATTCTTCAAATATTTTAAAATAAACTTTTCTAAATTTCTTCCAAGTTGAACGGGGTTATTGAATGACGTATTAACTATTTGTTTCCATAATTTAGAAGTTTTTTGCATCATACAAAAGTTTAGGCGCTCATATCTAGTTTTCGTCAAAAATACTTTCCTTTTATACAGAGCGTTCCAAATTTAAATGGTGGACCAATCTTAATTTAAATGAACGGTTAACTTTACATTGTGATTTGAATGCTATGCCAATTTTTATCTCGAATAGATGTTGTTGATCACTTAAAGTTGTCTAAACGATATACATATATAAAAGTCGCAATTTTATAGAGTGGATAAAACTTACACTTTTTCGACAAAATTATTGAGATTTTGCATTTTGGGATTCTACTTAAAGTTCCCAGCCGAATGAATACAAATATTCCATTTAGATATTTAAAGTTGCTCAAACTCAAAAAATTCATTCAAATCATCATGAACTGAAATTGGTTGGATTGAAAGATTTTTAGAATCTCATTTGGACTGCAGATTTTCTTAAAAGAGTGTCTCAGTTTCAAATAGAAAAGAATCTATTTCAAAACAGCTGTTGGGTTTCACAAACTCAACTCTATATAGATATCAAATATATGTGGCCGATCCAAAATTCCACAAGCCTTCGGATTCTGCAAGAAAGTCCAAACTACATATTTCACTGAAATAATGAAATAAGTTCGAAGATTAAAATAGTCAAGTATCTGAAGAAAACTATGCGTGAGCATCTACAAATTTTTACGAAAGATATTTCCTTAAACCGCGAAGAAAATTTAAAACATCTTATACATCAAAGAATAATAATTTTTTTGAATTTCGCATTAAAACTAATTCTATTATGGAAACAGCATTAAATGGCTGCCTGCTGCTGTGAAATTCTATTTATCACTCTGGTCATATCATCTGGTCATATTAAATTAGTCAATTAGAGGTCATCATATATGACCATCACATTTATGTATGACCTCTAATTGACTAATTTAATAATGCAAAAAAACTATTTTACCTTTAACTGATTTCCCAATAGAATATAAAGCAGTGAGGGACGGATATCGGGCAGTAGTTTGTCGAAGATATTGAGTCATCTGATCAAAGTGATGATATTTGTGCTCAAGCTTAATATCTACATCTTTAAACTGGGGATCCAAATTCAAATTTCCACCATTAACAAAGTCAGATTCCGAATAATGCCGCTGTTGGGACTCTTGATATTGATTGGGCAAGTCGCCTTGATCTGAAGTCTGAAAAATTGCAATCTTGTATAAAATTGTTTTTTACTATTCAGTTCACTGTAATGACGTCAATTGATACTGAATTCCCAGAAGGTATTTTATTTTTGTAATTAAATAGTTGTTCACTGAAAAATAAATCTTAGCAAATGCTATGGAATGATCTTGCCAAATAAAACATGTAAAACAAAGACAAACTATTCATAGAAAATCCTGTTTGCATTTTAAGTAATGTAAATTTCGCTATCGCATTAAGCATAAGTATTTGATGATTTAGTCATGCTTACAGACCAGTTTAAAACCACACACTTAAATCTTTAAAGTATCTAAAAACAGTATCTAGGACACCGAAAAAACCTGTATAAAAGCCAATACTGCAGATAAAATTTGTTGCAACATCTTTTAGCCAATATATTAAGAGTTTTGAAATGGTCACAAATTAATCAAGAAATAGCTAATTGTTTGCTTACCGATATTCTTTTGATCTGAGTTGTATTCTGTATAGTTCTAGTGATGGCGTCATCTGGAAACACTACAGAATCATCAGCAACGTTGATTTTTGATGATAACTGAGCTTGACTGTAGCTGTCGGCTTGATTATTGCTACTGTGTGCAACAATCGCTAAGAAACAAGTGGTTTGAGTGGTGAGGAATACCAGTCGTTTTATCACAGTTTTCATTTTATTGCTTTTAAGTGATCCTGAAAGCAAAACAATAATTGTTTTAACCAAGATTAAAACTCCATCCATAAAAATTAGTGTGTCAAATAAATTTAAAACTCCTAAAAATTGGTTTTAAAAATTCTCAGAAAAAATAATTTCTGATATAAACTTGGTTTTCACCCACAACTAACAAAACTTGCGGTTGCTTCTGAGTGCGTTTTGAAAGAAATATTCATATGAAAATGCATTTGAGTTTACATTTTTTTGCGAATTTAATTAACTTTAATTTCAATTAAGAAATATGTGTTTGGACCGTTATTTTTTATTTATTTTTTTTAATTTAAAGAATATTTCAATGAAAACAGTGAAAGAAGGTTTAAATGTTTTGCTGATGAGTTTGTTTGTTTTTTTTCTGGATTAAAACTACCTAATGTTTTAACTTTCAGATTTGTCTAAGATGGTCTTCAAGCCTTGATTATCAAACACACCATTATTTTTTTTTTATTTCCAATCTTTATTATATAATCAATGTTGCTTCTCTCAATCGTAAAAAATAGTGGCTAAAATGACAACGATACACTATTTCCATGTTACATTTATTGAAAACAAATACAATAATTGATAGAATTTAAACAATTCACTGATTTGGATAATAATCATGAAAAAATTATAATGCAAAAATGTGATTTAATTAGATATTAACGCATACAAATATACAATTCTATACAACATAGCTCGTTGAATAACAGGTACAAGTATCAATTCTTCCGACCTTGATCTGCTGACTTACTGCAGCTCTTTCATCAATCCAGGTCAGACCATTTTTATTAAATTATTCGCTTCCGTTTGGTTCGGTTAATACGATTTCGTCCTTACGATAAATTATAATAAAAAATAACTCATTAAAAATATACTCATCTAAAAAGCAAGTTGGACGAGCATATATTACAAATTGGAATTTACTATGCGAACAACTAAAAGACATACATATATGAGCAGTTTTCTTTTAAAGTGGTGTAAGTCCATTTTGAAAAAAAATTTGTTGATGAAATGATAAAAATTAATACAATTTTCTATGAACTTTTTATTCATAAACTTTTCCCAAAAAGCTGTTAAATTTTTCATTGTTTATATCATTACAAAGTTACAAACATAATTACTTTGAAAATAGTGTACGTCCACTTTCCTCAAAGACATACTACTATTTAGTTCAAAATTGTATCTCCTCTCTCCAAAATGTTGATCCCTATGAAAGTGGTGCAAGTCCTTTTGAACTTATTAAAATTATAAATTTTTGTTAATCGCAATTTATAAAAGTTTACATTATAAATTTAAATCAATTTAATATTTAAAAAATACAAAATTAGTGTAATAAGACCTTCAATATTTCCATATTCAATAAGAAAACGGCTCATATGTATTAATTTGAGTTTAGCTGGAGAAGTTAAGTAATTTTTAATATTGCACAAACACCCATGTAACATAAATGTTAGTGCTTAAGGCGACCTGTTCTCGATTAAAATGTACTTATTAGAAATTTGCGTTTTGTGTTATGACCAATTTTATTCAATTCAAAAAAATTAAAAAAAAATGTTACTGAAGATCTATTTCGCAAATTATGAAAGTTATGAGTTCATTCGTTTTAATCTGCTCTTTTTATTTTAACTATTTAAAAAATATATAAAATATTAAATTTTTGTCGCAATTACAATAAACTGAAAGCTAACAAATGTACCTTAATAAGTATCTGCTACTTAGCAGGTACAAGTGAAAAAGCAGATGGATCAAAATGTTGTTTTAAATTTCACCGAACCTAACGGTTTTAAATGGGGTTTCCTATAAGCGCGTAAACAAACATGAATAGCTTTCATATAAATTATCAGGCCATGACGCCGAATGGAAATAAAGGAAAATAATAGCTTGTAAAGTTGTGAAAAAATTTAATTACGTACAACACGTGCATAAACAGAGTGGTTCTTGAAACCTGGCAAAATCATCAATTTACGCTTTCACAATTTTTAATTTTGCATTGGCAAATTGTTGTTTGAATGTAAACATTATATATTATTCTAAAAAACTTTAGCGTTTTAGATTCACATGAAAAAAATAAATAATCAGATTATTATAACTACTCTATTAGCGTAATACTAATCTCCCTGAAAAAAAAATGCGGTTGGCAATGAAATATCTACAGATTAAATGCAAAAATATGCATAATTGGACGATCCTATGCTTACGTATAAAATAACGTACAGTGGAAAAAGATTCTCATTTGCTTAATTGTCTCATACTGCTTGGACACACACAAGTATTTCTATTAATTTCGGATATAATTGATTATCTTCAATTTACAGAAAATGTCAAAAAGCAAAGGTTTGAAAAAGGTTTCAAAATAGCATATGTTTGTGCCAAACGTGTTTTTTAATTCATATTTTGTTTCACTTTATTTAAAATATCGTTCTTTATTTCTTCCTTCTATACAAGATCTTTACGGGTCACCCACAAGCTTTTAGGAATATTAGGTTCTCAAAATAAGTTTTTTTTCTTCATAAATATATGCGCAAAAAACCAGAGGTTCAAAGACACGACGTGTCGAAATTACAAATGATATTCAAGTTTTCCGTTCAAACTATTGAAACTTTTAATATATTTAAATCAAACCGGGATCGAATGTGCAAGGTGATATTTTTAGAAGTCATGTTTTTTCACCATCGAACTTTTTATGCTGGACCATTCAAGTCGAACCACTTTTCCTTAATTCCTCTGTTCTTTCTTGTTCAATTTAGAATATTTCTTATTTCAAACTTTCATTTTGTATTTGCCACCGTTTTTGATTTATTTGCTAACAAATTAATTAATGCACGGTATTTAATTTTGGCTCGGAGAAGACAGAAACAGGATATTGTATTACAGAAAAAAAATAAAAATCTTCAGTAAATTTTAAAAATCAAATAACTTGACTTGTGGCTTTTGAAGCAGCCTGCATAATACCTACTACAAATTCCAAAAATTTGGAAAAAAAAAATTAACGGGTCTCAATCATGATAATACATATAAAATTTAAAAATAACTCTGAATATACGGGATATTCTTTAAGGCCGTTTTAACTCATCTAATTACAAAGGGACTTGCAGCATTTTCTGATTAATTTCACTTTTCAAAGTTTTAATGCAAATGTTGCCTTTGATGGCAAATTTTGTAATATAACATTTTCTATATTTGCCTTTCACAAAAAAAAAAACATATAATAAACTGTAAAGGTGATACTTTCAATCATTGTTGCCTAACAGGTTCAAATTGTTTTGAACCAAATGTACACCACGAATATTTCATTAAAATTTTAATTACATTGCAGTAAATGTTTCTCAACATACTAATTTTTATTAAATTTATTATTCGTTTATTCAAAGTTTCGTGGACTATTAAAAATATCAGTATAATCGGCAATAAAATGACGTTAGTTTAGTTTGTATGGAACTACACACAAATTATCATTGACCAAGTAAAAGTAACTGAAGCCCAGTACAATTAATCAAATTGAAAAGTGAGTACTTTCTTGTCTGAAACAGTACAATGCTAGAAAGTGTTGAAGTAAGCAATGAAAAGATATAGAAATAGAACATACTTAAGTGATCAACTTAAATAGTTTATATTGCGTTAAAGAACTTCTTTCACGAAAACATTCATTTTGCCCCCTTAAACGCAGTTTTATATGTAATTTTTAGAAAGTTTGTTGTGTATTTTACCAACCATTTGGTTTTTTCATGTCAGGTTCCATATACGAAACTCAAACCGGCTTTATCAAAATTTCGAACTAGTGGGCGCTTTATATAAATATTCAACTGTAATCAATTTTATTTAATTTATTTACGCCACGTACTGCTTGATGTTACCGTTATTTTGACGCCCTATATCCTATATATTTAATTTACCAAATTCTCCGATAAGAATGAATAATAGTTGCACGGTAGTTGTGCCGAAAAACTTTTCATTTTTTTAATTGTTTTTAAAATTTCGTAATTCGTATTAAATTGATAAGAATTTTAAAAAAGTAGATGCAACAACTCTTTGAACCAGAAAACAACGATGTAAAGAGTTATATAATAACTCATTAAGCTTAGCTAGAAGCTTACTTAGAAATGAGCTAAAGATTAATAATAGCAAATTGGTTGAAAAATATGATAATTACATTAGGTATAATTTTTGTACAACCGTTTTAAAGCCATTGACGATAGGTTAATTCCATATCATGATTTTTATAGACGAAATAACCATAAATTAACTCTGAGACAAATTCGTAATTGTATTAGTTGTTAAAAATTCATACACTATCTAAAAAAATCAATCTCTATACGTCTGTCTGTATTTTGGATTTAATTTGTCTCCTATTTAATATGAAAAACTTTTATTAATTTTAATTTTGTTTATTATATACTGTTCAGGAAACTTAATTTTAGCAAAAAGCAGCTAAACCATATATCGATAACATAGTAATTATATAAATATTGTAGTAAACATAGTCAAATAAAAAAATTCAATATACTTAATTAAATGAAAGCCAAACAACATAAAAAGATTAAACATAAAATAATTAATAGACGTACTTTTAAAAAATCTAAACTGGTAATTCAGTACCTCAGAGAAACTAACTTAACTAACTTAATCCCTTTAAAATATTAAAAAATATTCGTTCTTTTCCAAAATATTCAGTAAATTCAAATCATAACTTTTCAAACGATGAATGCAAATGTGAAAAAAGTTTCATGTCTTAGTTTTGCCTTAATTTATAATGCAGGAAGTTTCCATTTTTTGATCTCTATAAAACATTTAAAATATTTTAGAATGTTTGCAACTCACTATAATCTTATATTATACTTACTCATAATCAGTTTTAATGCGTATTGTCAGACTTACATTACAACAAATAATAAAAAATGAGAAAACAAAGTAAAACAAGAAATTGGCCAAAGAACAGATTTATCTTGAAACACAGTCAAGACCTTAATAACCCAAAAAGTTTACGTCTATTTTTGCACCTTTAGAAACCGCAAAAAACATTTTACGAAAAGCAAAAGTGTGCTCACAATCATGTAAAGATTTAAACATATTAATTAACTCAAATTCATCAAAGCTGGGGCCAATTTAATAAATAAATAGTTATTTTATCAAATAAATAATTAATCTTTTCTGTGAAAGATTAATATTTTCTTTAAAGCAAAACTGCAGTATCATAAATAATAATAAGTAATATTGAAGTTTGCGAATCAAAAGGAGATTATACACGATAATAATGTTTATGCTATTGTTAAAAGAATACATTTGCGGTTTTCTCAGGAATTTTATTACATTAACAAGTGGTAAACCCGACAAAACCATGCAATTTGGGATTAGATAAACCACTTTTTTACTATTACCGCTTCATTGACCTTGCTAATTCTGAATTCTTCGCTCTTATTGATCGCACATCTGAGCGCATCTCGTCAAATTGCTGTAGTTTTTCCTCGCTGATTTAGTAAGGATTCTTAAATCCTTTATATGTGAAATGAGCAGTACTTACCTAATTTAAAAAAACACAAAGGATATTATTTCTAACAGAAAAATTTAACTATTTAGCTATCGCAGTCATTTGTGAAGAAGTCGATGGTAGCTTGGATCGGCCACTAATTGCAGCAAAATGTCACTAAAAACTCTGAGAAAATATTTAATCGTCTTTCACTTTTACGCTCGAACTGACTAAGAAAATCACACTGACACTGTTTTCTCTGTTTCTCTGAAATCGTCACAGCTTTCTCATGATTCTGCTCGGAGTAGTCGATACGGAATGGACTTATTTTCACCTGAGTTGAACTTGTACCGTTTGATTCAATGTTCAGTGGTTTAACAGCGGATGAGTTTAGCCATAGTCCGGTAGTATTAAACTGTTACGAAAATTTTACACAGTTTTGCAGTCTTTTTTTAAATTTATTGCAACTTTATGCAACCTGGCATTGATAGAATCAAGGTAAATTGCCAACCGAAACGAGGCTGACAAGGGGTCAACAATGCGAATAAATAAAGTAATTTAGTTGACCTGTACAATTTTAAGTTATTGTTTCCTCCAACGGCATACAGAACTCATGTATTTGATTTATTTTAAAACTTTTCAAAATATGTATGCAAATGATAGAAATATGCAGTAAAGCTTTGCATAAATTTAAAAAAAATAATAATAAAAAAAGCTACTGCGATCTACACTCATTTAGAGAAGACTAAAGAATCCTGCAAATGGTGATGTACAATATAAAATAAATGTCGAAATATTCAAAGAGCAGCAGAATTGAACACACAATTTTCAATACAGCCTCGAAATCAAATGTATGAAATAAGTGAAACAATATCAAACCATATACGCACGCGTTAGAGGAAACAAAAATGATGGCCGGTCATTTACATTGTGTGTTTTCCTTTTATTCTATTACACGAAATCCGCCCATTTTCCTTGTTTCATTGATATATTTTTCACAACTAGGCTCAGTCACAGAGAAAATAAAATATTTTACTTACTCTATGGGCCTAGTTAAGTCTAAGACACATTTATGTAAATCCATATAAATTTTTGTGCACTTAACAGGTCCATACGGGATAAATTCAAAAATGTTCTTTTTCAACGTGGAGGGGGCTTTGATAAGGCCATAACAAGCATATCTACATCATCATCATCATCAATCAGCTTATTGCAGTCCACTGCTGGACGAAAGCTTCCCTCAATAATTTCAACTGTCCTCTGTCTTGTGCTGTCTGCATCCAGTTCCAATCCAGAGATTGCCAGCATAGATCGTTCCATCGCTAGTTGCGTAACTAGTATTTTCTTTATTGTCCGTTTAGTGAGTGTTAGGGTTTCGGCCCCGTAGGTAAATACTGGACTGGTAAGGACACACTGGTTAAAAACTTTCCTCTTTAGGCAGTTAGACAACTCTGCCTTGAACACATATTTGAGATTCCCATATACAGCCCATGCTAGCTCTATTATTTGAAGAATTTCTAGGATCTGATTATATTTTCCAAGAGAAATCGCTTATCCGAGGTATTTAAAGGAGAGGATCGCTTATCCGAGGATGTAGTTTCTTCCACCCTGATACCGTCAATGCCTATGCCTTCACCGAGCACAAGGTTTGTCATAATCTTGGTTTTGGGAAAATTTATTTTAAGTCCTACTTTTAATGACTATTCATTTGGATTTCTTAACATTGAGACGGCGTCATCCAGTCCTTCGGCTATAAGGACTATATCGTCGGCAAATCTTAGGTGATTGAGTCTTTCACCGTATATATCACACCTAGGTTGTCCCAGTTTGTTTGTTTGAACATGTACTGGAGAACAGTATTCGGGAGTTCAAAAATCCAGACGCCTCCTGGTGGCTAAAATTATAACTACAAGTTAAGTAGTTATTTGGCAATTGTTTTGTTGACATTGGTGTCACCTTGGTGTTTACATCTGATTGTGATTTATTTTGTTTAGCTCTAATCCACTTTTGCAAGCTTTTAAGAAAAGAGAAGCAGATCGAAAAGTATGTAGGTATTGTTTTATGTTATAAATGTCATCAACTCCTTGATTGCTTGGGTGATGGTGGCGTTTCGCAACGTCAATGTCATGTCAATATGGAATTTGTCAGTGTTGTCGTGGAGTCTGTCACATGCAGTAGCATTCTGATAAATATTTTTGATAACTGACGAGTACCGATAGTCTATTCTGCAGTCTGACAGAGCTTTCAGCATTGTGTGTTGGTCTACTGAATCCAATGCTTTCTCATAATCTACGAAGATAAGTACTAGAGGCTTGTTGTACTCCACACATTTCTGAATAACGTTCTTCAAAATCTGGAGGTGGTCAGAGGGCGTGGCTATTAAGCTTTTAAGAGGCCTGCAGTAAAAATTGTTTTTATAGCCTGCAGCAGCTTGTTTCCTCCCATTCTAATTGCTTCGATAACTAATCCATCCTCTCCTGGGGTCTTGCTATTTTTTATTTAAAAAAGGGCTCCATTTATATCGCTTACTGTGATCTCTGGGATATTTTTCGATTCTTGGTTCAGAACTTTAATAATTATTTTCGCCAGGTGCTCCTTCTGTTTGCTTTTTATATAATTTGGTATAAAATATCTACTATTTTAAGGATTTCATCTCTGGTTGTTCTCACATTGCCTTGTTTATCCCTCAGCTTGCAGATATCCTTCTTGCATTGTGACAATTTTTTTAACAAACACAGACAATTATGCCTTTTCCTGTATGATCTTCTTTATAATCTCCAAATTAAATCTTCTTGCGTCGTTTCTCACAGCTTTTGAAATTTCTTTATCCAGTTCTCGTAGTTGCGCATAATTCTCCTTATATTTATTTCTTAGTTAATTTCTAGTTCTCCTAAGCTCTTTAGTATTCTGACTGATCCTCTCATCCTTGGCCTTCCTCCCTAAGCAGCCGAAGCAGCCGATTTGATGCTGTTTTCTACAGATGCGCTTAGTTCCTGGATGTCGATATCTTCATCTTCTGAAGGTCTTGGACTATTTTACTGATGTTCGTGAAGCAATAGTCTATTTCGTTTTGTGTTTATCATCTGGGCTTATACAGGTCCATTTGTTTTGCGGTTTTTTGCGTAGAAGGAGTTTAAAGCCAATAGTTTGTGCTGTTGTATGTAGTTCAACAGTATACATAGTCTCTGGTTGCGTTCTCCAAAACCATGATGATCTTCAAGTGAACTTTCTGCTTCGTCTTGTTTTCTCTCAAGTTTTGCATTGGAGTCACCCATCATAATGGTGAAGTGAGTTGGACTGCCGTGCAAAGCGGTGTTTAGGTCTCCATAGAAAACTTCAATATCTTACTCATCCGAATTGAATGTCGGATGTTGAAGCGTAAGCCTGTATTATTTTTAAACTATATCTCGTGTTTAGTTTAAATGTTAAGGTGAATGACTCTTGAGCTGATACTTTTGACCTCCTTTATATTTGCACGGAGTCTCTTGTGCACCATGAAGCCTACACCTCCCTCGGATTTTTTTTCTAATCCTTTGTAGTGGAATAAGTTTCCGGATCCCAAAGTGACTTGATTTTCTCTTCTTCTCCTGACCTCGCTGAGACCTACGACATCCCACTTGATTTTTTTCAGTTTTTCCTTCAGTTGGATCATCCTCTCATCTGAGAACAGTGTTCTGATATTATAGGAACATATTCGAACAGAGATTTTGCTTTGGGAATTTGTGGCATAACTAGCAATTTTTGGCCCTCCCCAGATTCCATAGCCCAGAATTCCGAGGCAGCCCTCCTCGGAAAGGTGGCATTTTCCCACCTGGGGACTATATCCTTACATACAGGGTGTCCCACCAGGAACCGCCGCAATCGATATCTAGCAAACTATATTTAGGAGAAATAGCCTACAAGGTCGATGTAGGCGTTGTTTTTCTAACATTAATAAACTTTGCCCTCCCAGATATTAACTTCTTATTTGGAACATTTTTTCCTCCGATCACTCGTTTCCAAAATATTTAAGTGTTTCAAGAATTTTAAAAAATGTGCCTCAAGTGTTCAGATGGACAGTAGACTGATCCAGGATTGCTGAGATACCCTGAACAAAGTGGCGGAACAGAAACAATTAAACCTAGTGTGAATTCAGGCTCACATGTGGTTCGAGGGAAACTGTCGAACCTCACATAGGGTTAAGTAACCGACAGATAGCAAGCTGAATATGAGCAGCCCAGGAATATGAGGTACGCTGATGAAACCGCCTTGTAAACGAGCAGCCTTGAGGACACACAACACCTTTTAGAAAAATTAAATGATTGATGTAACGAATACGGACTAAAAGTTAATTTTAAGAAAACCAAGTTAATGGTTGTTACAAAATTTCTATAAGATCTGAACTAGGCAAAAAATAGAGAATGTGTCGACATATAAATATCTAGGGACTTGGATAGAACAAACAGGTGACCAAGCAAGAGAAATAAGAACGAGGATAGAAATAGGCAGATCAACATTTGTAAAAATGAGGAAGTTATTTACGAGTCGGAATATTAACATGGATCTTACGATGAGGATTATACGTTGTTACGTTTTTTCCATGTTCTTGTATGGAGTTGAAGCATGGACCTCAAGAAAAACCACATCGACAAACCACAAGCATTCGAAATGTGGTGCTGCCGTAGAATGTTGCGTATTCCCTGGACCGATAGACTTACTAACGCCGAAGTGCTGAACCGGATGCAGAAGGAATGCGAAATCATTAACACCATGAAAAAAAGAAATCTTCAATACCTGGATCATATAATAAGAGGACAGAAATACACACTTCTCCAACAGAGAGTCAAGGGTGTAGACAAGACAAAGAGTTGATAGAAACCCCAAGTGACGCCAAGATAACATCTAAATGGACTGTGGTCTAAACAGACACCTACACTGGTGAGTCCCGTGTGTCCACAATGTGGAATAGCAGAGGAAACATCATACCACCTATTAGGAGTCTGGCATTACTGGTCGTCTAATAGGAGGCGCCTCCTTGGGGCCTCCACACTCTCCCGCATCGAATTGCCTTCCTTAGAGTGGAGACAGATCCTTACCTTTATCAGGTAGGTGGGACGCCTGGGTGGCTAAGATCAGGAGTGGTAAGGGGGGAATGGATGGAGAGGGAATGGCGAAAAGGGCCTTTAAGGCCTGCTCACCGGATTCGTCGGGTCCCCCCACAATGCTACTACTACTACTGGTCAAGTATCGAGTGTCATTTATTTATGTAGTATACTCCCAGTTGCTCAGTGAGCACGTCTCTGGTAATAAAGTTGGTTTCATAATTCAATGAATATATAAAAGAAAAAAATAATTCAGTGTATGATATTTTTTTATAAAGCAATATGTCAATAAAGCTTGAGTGGATATCCTTTAGTGCTCTTCGAAGTATATCGGTATATTTATGAACCATCTTGTATATATTCTAATATAAGAATGGGTGAGTATACAAAACAATAAATATTATTCAAATCTCCTCAAAACGTTCGAAACCAAATTACTAGTAAGAAATAATCCTTAAAATCAGTTCATTCGAGAATAAGAAAATACACAAAAAATATTCTTTCTAAAACCAAAATAAGACGCATGACGATGTTTCAGTGCAAAATTTGGCTTTACACCAATTATTTCTAAGAGAACATCCTGTATGTTAACTTCTCTACTTCGTTTCTATACCTACTTCGTACATCTGCATACTGATTTCAAAACATGTGTCAATTTTTTCGGTGTATTGGCGAATGCTGCAATTAGGCACTTGTTATTAATAATTTCGTTTTTATTAGAGTATTTTTATATTTTTTATTGGAATTGGATTCTAAAACTAGTTTATTGAAGTCTTAAAAAAGGGATCTGAACGTATATTTTGCCTTTCTAAACCCGCTTTTGTCGTGAGCAGCTGCTCACTTAAGAACTTAAGTTATAGAGCTTAGCTTTTTGTGAAAGAAATATTCTTACAAATTTTCCAATAATATGATTGCCAATATTATTTTTGCAATTTTATTGTAAACAATATGTATGTAAATCAGTAGGAAATGAACCAAAAAATACGAAATATTGTAGAATTTCTAAATTCGCTTTGTGGTTCTTCGCAATTTTATTTTTAACTAATTTTCATGCTAAAACTTGAACATGACGTTCATGGAGCTAACGTGCTAATCATGAATACATGTATCATATTTTATCCTATTATCAATGGGATAAACGTTTTAATCTCAGCATG